ATAATACCTATAACAATGTAAATACTATGTAAATAGTCTGAATTATTTTGGAAATATTAATAGGAAAAAAGTCTAAGAGCTGGACGTGGTGGTACATGCTTATAATCCCACTGACTCAGGACAGAAGCAGGAGGATCACGAGTTCAAAGCCAGCCTCAGCAACTTAGCAAGCCCCTAAGCAACCTAGTTCTCTAAATAAAATATAAAAAAGCCTAGGGATGTGGCTCATTGGTTAAGTTCAATCCCAAGAACAACAACAACAACAACAACAACAAAAAACAACACACACACATAAAAAACAAACAAACAAACAAAAAATATACATGTTTGGTACAGATGCAAGCTTTTAAAACTATTTTTGGTGCACAGTTGGTTTTATCTGTGTATGTGGAACCCACAGAGACAGAGGGCGACTGTATATCCACAATAGTTCTTTAAGCAAGTCTTGAAGGATGAATAGAGAATTAGAAAATCTTTTCCATTATATAGTTGAAAAGTGAGCATCAGTAAAATGATGGTGTTTTACAGAGGAAGGTAAAAAATACAGAACTTCTTTGTTGGCAAACTCTGGTGTTGGCAAACTCTACAAGAAAAGGCTATATTCAAAATGATCTTATAAATAGATACAGGACAGATAGGACCTGATATTGTAGATAATGAGAACTCAATGGAGTGAGACCAGCCACATTGCCAAGTCATGTGCACAAAGATTACAGAAAATAATTGTTGTTTCATGTCCTTAAAATGTCATTTGAAAGGTTACTTTTTTTTTATTTTCCACTTTCTAAAATGATTTTCCAGTCAAAATTTTACAGGTTTTATTCATCAGTTCTTCTGCCCTTTTATAAGCAACACTATGTTATTTCAATGTGAATTCTCACATGAGTTTGGGCCCTGCTTCTGGATAAGAAACTTAAAAGATGAGGTATCTAATTGTCACTCCAAGTTGGAACTCTGTAGGGACCAACTGCATTTCTCTTGCTTTCTTTAATAAGGTGGAAAAGAGAGGAAGGAATTATTTCAAGCCATTACTCTTATTATTCATGCTTCGGAAACCAATTTAAAATGATGCTTTGGCCTTAATGTAACAAGAACTTTCCTAAGGGGCTAGGTTCTCAATAGTTTCACATTTCTTTCTTCATGCTTCTGTGACATGGCTTTTATAAAACACACTTTAGAGCTGGGCTTGCGGTTTAGTGGTACAACTCTTGCTTAGCATTAAGTAAGGCCATGGGCTCAATACCCAGCACCCCCCAAAACAGAGGACACTTAATGATAGGAAAAAAATCTTAATGGATCACTACTTAGGGTCCAAAAAATAATTCCACTTCTTTTTCTATGGACTAGCTTTAAATTGTATGGAAGGAGACAATATCTAAAGAATTAAATTGAAAAGAAATGCAATTTAAAATACTGTTTTCTAACATTCTCTAGTCTCCCAAATCCTGAACTCAGTGCAAAAGATAAAAAACGAATGGACTGTCAGTTGTATCTTTAAAAATAATTATGGCCTATAAACGACTTTCTCAATGGGAAGAGTGAATGAGGGAGAGTAGGGTAAGATCCTTTGTTGAAGTAGGTTCACCTGCATGAAGGAAGGCAAGAAAGGATGACCTGATGTTTGCAACTCATGTATCATGCAATCCTGTGTAGTGAAATGAATAAAAAGAAACAATTGGGGAAAAGATTTACTTCTAAAAATGAAGAGAAAACTAAAACAAAGAAGGAAAGTAAAGATTTTTAGACTCAACCAGTAATGACCCCGAAACCATGACATATAGCTAAGGACCTGAGTCACTGGGAAGTGCCCCCTGTTAGTAATGTCTTGAGGATTGTCCTTTTCAGAGAAAAACATGCAGTACACTGAGAGACTGTATGTGAACAAGAAAAGAACGGGTTGGTTTATAATTGATGGGTTCTCTGTAAAATTATCACCTCAAAGTCTCGGTCTGTCCTCAAGGGATAGCATTTTTAAAGCCCATATTTGAGATTCAGAATCATTTCCTTTTAGTGGATGATTTTTATTACATGATTTATGAAATAGTTATCTATAAAATATCAATGATAAAAATTGTTATTTTATTAAACTAGAGTTTGGAGAAAAATTTAATTGCACATTAACTTATCACTGGAATGTTCTTTGTAGGTATGAGGAAACAAAATCATGTATTTTCCTTTTCCTATAGCTTTATACACATACATATTTTCTGGACTCAATAATTGGCCTGTTATTTTTAGAGGGAAGTTAGCTTAAAATTATACCAAAGTTTGGGTTGAAAACATGGCTCTGATAACCCACAGCTGATTATTTACCACCTCTGTCACTATGAACATATGTATAAAACTCTTGTAATCAATCTAGAAAAATAAGATTTGTTTGATACACATTGAGCTGCCTTCAAAATTAATTCTTTAAAATTTTTTTTTTCTTAGTTGTAGATGGACACAATATCTTTATTTTATTTATTTTTATGTGGTGCTGAGGATCCAACCCTGGGCCTCACATATGCTGGGCAAGCACTCTACCACTGAGCCACAATCCCAGCTCTTAAAATTGATTCTGGATGTTCCTGAAATCATCACTTGAAAGAAACATCTGTTAGTCTCTTCTAAATTTATATTATTTTCTCAAAGAAGCTGGCAAGGACACACTGACCTGGCACATAGATATCTGTGATGCTCTTACATACTTCCATAAGATCAATAAACAAATGGAATAGTGAAGGATGATGGTTCTCCACTGCATGACCAAACACATGGATAGAGAATTCTCTATGGATACTTTTTTTTTTTCTACAGTGCATTACAAGCCCACAGAGAAGTTAGTGAGTCAGCTGGTGAGCATTCAAGGGACAAAGCTAGACTTTTCAATGGTTTTTCAATTGCTTTGAAAAGGACTTTCTTCCTTTTGTATTTGTATACTCCTTCATTCACTCACTTGATGCACATTTGTTGAGGTCTGCAGGTGTAACGCCAGGTGCTGCCGGACAGGATGATGAGAAAAACCTTGGTCTACCATATCTCTCTTTTCTTCTTCACAACCATATGTTATGACATGCCCTCATCCCTTCATGACTACAGCCCTTCAGTGTCCTCTTAGCTAATGCCCCGGACACCCAAGTCCTTCCCTCACCAAGTTATGTTAGAAAATGCTGTAGAAAAATATTCTTTGGTCAAGAGTGCCTGCTGTCTTCAATAATACCATCTTTACCACCAATATTCATGGTAATTAATAGCTATTATTTCTTGTACCATTCACTTTATATACTTTACCATCTTATTTTAATTCTCACTATAACCAAGAAAGGTGAAAAAATAAAAGTTTGTTTCATTCTTAACTAGAAGTCTTACCAATAGGGTGTATTGAATGTGCCTGTTGAGTATTTGCATAGTTTCTCAATTCCTTGAATCAAATTGGACACTGCTACCCTCTTTCTTGTTCTACATGAATTTCTGCAGGGAACCTGCTTTGTATCAGAACAATTTCTGAAAATATAACTTTACAGAGTTTTTTTTTTTTTTTTTTTATCTTCAAAAGGGCGATGTAATATTGAAACTGTGAACCATCCTGAGCTAGGAGTTCACGCAGTGTTAGACAGAGGTTGAGCACCACTGTGCTTCCCTTGGATGTTTAAAACACCTCATTGCACCCCTGTGAATATGTCTGGCAGCTCAAGGTGCATCTGTACACAATTTGAAAACATTGGCAGTAAAGTGAAACAATTTCTCTTCAACCTTACCTTCACATACTTCTTTTTGGCAGTTAACATATAGTGCTCTATATTCAAACTAATTGCTGTGAAAGCATCTGATTCACAAAGTTCAGGGATCATTTCTTGCACACATTCTGGAATAGGGGCTAATACAGTACCTTATGTATAGAAGATGCTCATCAAGAGGTTAATGACTTAATGGACTTTTATAATTTACACTACACACTTGTGTAATTTCTCCTGTATTATTGGAAATGCCTGCTATGGTTCCCTATTAAAATTTAAATATGCCTATATTTATACGTATATACAGGTCTATGAACATATATGTATATATGGGTGAGTGCTGTGGTACTTGGGGTCAAACTCCAGGACTTGTGCATGCTAAGTACACACTGTACCACTGAGCTACCCCACTCCCTTAAGTAAATTTTTTTGAAGAGAATGTGCAGTCCCTCTGTGTTGCAAATTAGTTGCTGGAGTACAGAAAACAAATCTTGATATAAGAAAGGGGTGATTTTGAAGGAGAGCCTTTCCTACTACTTGAAGTACACTTACTCTTTTGCAGGGTAGGTTGCTATCTGCAAGTTACTGAATTCAAATACATTGAATTCTGAATTATAGAACAAAGGAAAATTATGATAAACAACACTTTAGTGTGGGCAAATGTTCCTCTACACCATTGGTGGCAATGCCACTAATGATAATACCATCAATGCTAGAGCTAGAGTGATTTCTGGCAGGAATCATACTTAGAAAAGATGTGTTTCTGAGTAGATTATATTAATGTTCTCTCTGAAGCATCTGAACATTACTTTTTAAAAAATCTGAGAAAGTATGAATGGTTCGTATATCTGTACATGTATGTTTTCTTTCCTTTCTTTTCTTTTTTGCTTTCTCTTTTGAAGGCTTAGATTTTACATTTCTTCTGTCCCCCAAAATCCACTGAATTTAGATCCAATGTTATTTGAGGGAATCAAAAAGAAACTGAAGTTTCCTTTTAATGAGCTAAAATGATGAGAATTTTTAGCAAAATATGCATACATGGAACCATTTATATATACAGATTAAAGGGGTAAAAATTAAACAGGTAAATGAGGCTGAGAATACAACTAGTCTAGGGAAAGTTAGCCTAATTATCATGATTTTTCTCTCATTTTGGTGTCCATTTCTCCTCCTTGGCCAAAATTTCAGCTCTAGTACTAGTGAAAGAAGACCAAAATTGCAAATTAATTCACTTTCACACGAAAAGGACTGCAAAGCCCAGAGTAGAGGTCCCTTGGTTACCTGCTGTTTCTCTGTCAGCTGAGGTCAGCTCTCCATTGATCCCATTCTCTTTGGTATCTGAGTAGGTGCCCTGTGACCCATGCTCTCCAAAGGTGCCCTCTTCATCCTCTCTGTATGGGAATCCATTGGCGCTTCGGACAAGTCCTTCCCCTGCCCCGCCTTGGTCCTTCATCTCAGGTGGATGTGGATGTGCAGAAGCTTCTGTGAGCTGAGCCGAGGTCCAGTGCGACGCCTTGGCTTCGTCTTTCCGTTCGTCTGCCATTCTTCAAAGCCCTGTAATTTCTCCTGTAATTGGAAGAGGAAAATGGTCATGGCTTTGAGCAAATCTGACCTGACATTAGTTTTATCAAGATAGGGAAAATGTGTAGCAAATTCAGTGGTTTTCTATAGTTGAAAAGACATTTTCGGTAACCCTCTTTTAACATCAAGAATTTGCCATTGTACAGACGTTGGGTTTTACAGACCATTGCTGAAATATTTGTTCTTTTAATATAAGATCACCATCATGGCTACAAATGTCAAACCTAACGTTTAACATCTAAGGATACATCTTTAATTAATGCCCATTGACGTGTGGTATTGAATATTGACAGCATGGTAGAATCAAGAAATCCTTCTGCATAGGGAAAAAGACAGTGGTCAACATTGCAGTTTCAAATGCATTCAACTCAAGCTAGAGATGTATATCCTTTTCTGAATACGGTGAACTGAAAGATAGTTTTGACTTAATTGTCAATGAACTTTCCTTAACCCTATCTATAAAGAGGAAATGACATTTTTTATTAACATAAATCTTGCGGAGAGAATGGATTAAAATAGAGCATTAGACCCATGACCCTACCTGATGGCATTATTTCGAAGCTAAGTCAAATAAGATCTGAAAAAGTGAAATCATTGACACATAATAGGAAACTGTAAATTATAGAAAAAAATGAAGCAGCTGTGGAAGGGGTGTTCTATAAATGCTAAGTGAATGGCAGATATTGCACAACCTTCTTTTTATGCTGATGCTACTAAGTTTAGAGATGTAACTGATGAGAGGTGATTCACCACTCAGTTTGGAAAGCTGTTGTCAGTGATGTAGCCTCATTGATGGCTTATTGTACCCATAAGAGTGACAACATAGGCAACAACTATCTCTGATGGAAATTAAGAACACTTTATTTTTTTCAAAACAGTAACCAAAGCAAAGACTTCCAAACAGGTAAACAAAAATGGTATTAAGACAAGCTATTTCTCACTATCAAGCTTCACAAATAAATCAAAGTCACCACAAATAAATTAAGCTTGTACAAAGGTAGGCCTCTCTACCAGGTTTCTAAGAAGCACCTGTTTCTTGGTGAATCTCAATGTAATCCTTAGCTTGCTCCGCTTTCTATTCATAGCAAGAAGAGCTAGATGAGTTCATTCCTCAAAACTAACTTAATTACAACAACAAACCTCTCCCCAAATTATTTCCCAAATGCATCCTATTTATATTCCCTAAGAACATATGTTAATAAGATGTAAAGGTTAGTTCTTAAAACATCAGTTGAAGGGCTTGTGAACGAATCAGGGAGAGTCCCTTCATAACCAACAGTGTGCCAAGAACACTACCCACAGGAGAGTTGTGTTTTCTGTAAAATGAGGATATCAAAGCCTAGTTTATTGACTTGTTACAAAGTTAAAACAGAATAAAATAGGGTTCAACACAGTCCCTGTTCTGATCTTGATGAGTAAATAATAGTTATGGCATTTGTCATTATTTTCCTGATTGTAGTACAGCCATTCTTTGTACCACCAGTCAGTACCTATAAAACATTTTAAGTAGATTTTCTGAGATTGTTGACATAGTAGCTGGAAAATTTGTTCAAGTACAACAAAGAGAGATACTTGTAAATCTGTCTCCAGATATTACATAGGACTGAAAGAACATCCCTAGACAGGCATAGCAAATGTCCCAGAAATGAAGCCTGATGGGAAGAATGTATCTTCAGAATTATCCTCTCCATATACACAGGTGGAAAAGTAGGTTCATCTTTTGTAAAGGCAATTCTGCAATATCCTACACTCTATTCTGCCATTGTCTTCAAATGAAATATCAAAATATTTATTTTGAGAGCCTAAAGATGGTATTTTTTGACTTACTACAGTATCTTCATATGTCTGAGAGATGGAGGAAATTATCCAGATTTAAATTGTGACCTCTGGATTACAATATTTTATTGATGGACTTAACTCCCTCAGCATCCTAATCCTTATATGCATCAATTTCTTTAACTTTCCTTCATCAGAATTAAAGTTTCCATATTCTTATGTAGTATAATGTATGTTATGTGTAAAATGAATATTGTAAATAGAACCCATTGCATACCATTTCTCCAGTTTTGAACACTTTGCACTAGAATGGTAAATTTACTATAATTAATGAATCAACATCAATACCTTATTATTAACAAATTTGTAGTTTATTTAGACACCCTTATTTTTAGCTAGCATCATTTTTGTTTCTCAGGATCCCACCTAGGACACTACATTTAGCTTTCACGTTTCCTTAGATTTTTATTACCTTGACCTTCCCAGGTTTGGGAAGTACTGGACAAATAAATCATAGGATATCTTTATATTGAAATTTAACCTTTTTTTTCATGATTAGTTTTGGGTTATGTGTTTGGGGAAGGAAGACCACACAGGTAACGTGATCAGATAAGCTTGGGAGATGCTGAGCTACACATATATGTGTACGGAGAACCTTCTGAGAGCTTTGGATGTGCTGATGGATGTTTCATTCTCAGTGATGCACAAAACCTCCCAAACCAGTTTGCAGAACCATTTCATGACCCCACATTTGTGAACATCTCTAAGAGGATGGATCTGTAAAGATTCAGGATTGTTCTTTAACCCATGTTCAACTCTAAGCATTCTAGTCACTAGATATTCAAAGTAAATAAAAACAACAAGAGCACTTGCAAATCTCTGCTAAATTTATCTGTGCTCCCTACTCCCCAGGGTTCTTTGGAACAGATTTCTCAGTGATCAAAAATCTCATCTTGCACCTAATAAGCCAATGCCTAATAGGAGTGAATGAGTACTATTAAGTCATTATCCACTTACACATTATCAAACATACATGTTTGATAACGCAGAGTAAAGCAAATACTTTCTCTAACACTCATAGAAGGTTTAGTATCATGAGTTATGAGTCTTAGTAGTCACTCTCTTAGTTAATTCTAGGTATAATTTAATAGAAGCTATAGAAGAGAAAGCAAATAAAAGAATTGAAGCACAACAAAAGAACATTCCCTTGAATTAAGGATCTACATAGCAAATTAATTTATACTGAAATTTAGAAATAAAATGTTTAATCATATATATATTGCTATTTCTGATAATTCTTAGATAATCAGGGAATAAATCTATTTCACAATTTCCCTGAATTATCAGAAAGTTTAAATACTTAACTAAAGTAATTACCTCATTCTACATCTTTGGCACTTATTTCATTCTAAATATTCGGTACTGTGTTATGTTCTTTATTATAATTTAATTATAAAACATATCAAATCTTTCCAGAAACCAGAATGTATGCCATAAATAAATAATGACTACTCATTATCTTTCAACATTTTACTTAGGGCGTTTTTAAAGAAAATTACGTATTATTTAGTACACTATAGCTCTTATGTTATTCACATATAGAAAGTGAAGAAAATACAAAATGGATATCAATATTTCCTACACAAATTGTTTTATAAAATTTTAATATTTCAGACCTTTCAGATAGCTTATATATTAACAAACTGTAGCAAAAAAATATGATATATTGTAATAAACAACATTACTTAGTTTGAAATAATACTTTAATTACCAATTCAAGAAAATGTTGCTAATAAGACAATGATAGCTTTAAAATGACAAATAACTTACATTGGAAATTGTCAGGTAACTCAGATTTTCTGGATTCCTGTAAGGGTTATAAAACTGGGGGTGCATTTAAAGCATAAAGCACTTATAAGCAATTTTTTTAAGTACTTTCATTTGGACTTTCATCTATCACTAGATTACCTGGATATTATTGAACATTATATAAGTAGTTTGATATGCCCTACTAGTTCCTGCATTTTCTGTACTTAAGAGCAAATAGCCAATAGATATATCTGTTTTAACTGTACCAAAGATTGTTGCTGAGTACATATGCCCTCAGGGCTTGTAGACAAGAAAATAAGGTACATCTGTCTCACATTCCCTCCGCTCTTTACAAAGGATAAGGAAAAAGCAGATGCTCAGGAAAAAAAGCTCTGCCATCTTTCGGAGTTACTAACAAGTTTATTTCTCTAAACAAATAAGGATCCAAATCTGAAATACATTGTATTAAGAAAGAAGCCATTTCCCAATTTTTCTACCTACGTAAAAATGAATCAGAATTTTCCATATTTTTCCTTCAAAGTCTGAAAAGTGTTATTCAAAAGTTAGATGTGTACAACCAAAATATGACGGTGATATACAAAATCACCAAAGCATTATTTAGTTGTCATAAATTGGATTTCAAATATTTGTTGAATGTTAAATGAATTAATCACCAACTCTCTACCTCAAGGTAAATATAGAGAGGAAGTTTCTACCAGCTGTGGATGTTTAATTAACATGAGCTCAATAGGCAGGAGGAGAATGATTTTGAACTAAATTTTCATAGATATAGAATTTGGCAGAAGAAATAGAACTCAAGTTCTGCTCCATTGAAAGTACATGAAAAATAACACCAAGTAAAATAAATGACTACACCTAAATAAGAGCTAGTAGAATAAAAGAAAACACATGATATATAAATATCTTTAAGATAAATTATCGCAACACATTCCAAAAAAGTTGCAAAGATATGAAACTGAAAAGCTCTTTAGTGGTCATCCCTTCCAATGTGTCTTGAAGTGTTTTCAACCAATGCCTTCCAACAGGGATAAAATAAACTAGAAATTTTTAGGTGTGGGACTTGCAAATCAGCATTTTAACAGGTGACTCTGATACACCAAAGTTTGAAAGGCTGGTGGTGCTTAGCTAAGCCTACTGCCTAGGAATTCTGAAAAGAACAGGAGGTGACAGCAATATACAAACAAAACACCACAGGTAGAGTGATTGAAATAAAGATGAAGACGACCAAGTTGATAGGTCACATGACATTCTCACAAGTGACCTTTCACTTCCTGTGACCAGGATATTTTTGGAAAATGGATGGAGTCCCATTAGGAGACAAACTGTTATTCTACCTTGAAGGGATTAAGGTATTCTCTATTGTATCAACTCCTACTTGA